AAGGCTGAAAGACCTAAATTGGTCTTTCAGACAAATTTACTAATACTAAGTAAAGATTACTTGGTATTAGTAAATTATGCCCCTACTCGCTATACCGCGAGTAGGGGCATGTCTATGAAACAGTGAGCAGCCTGTGGCAGCTCACTGTGTAAAAAAAAAAAAAAAAAATGTCCCACGTCCCCCCTCCCAACCTGAAGGAGGAACCTAATGTCCTTCCCCCTGGCCCCCACCCCTGAGCAGTGGGTGGGGGCCCTAAATACCAATTAGGGGGGGACCTAATGTCCTCCCCTTACCCCACCCCTGAGTGGTGGGTGGGGGCCCTAAATACTACTTAGGGGGGACCTAATGTCCTCCCCCCTGGCCCCTACCCCTGAGCGGCAGGTGGGACCATAAATAAAAAAATAACCCCTCCTCCCCCAAGTGACTAGGGGTCCCCCAACCCCTAGTCACCCCCTCTCCCAAAAAAGTAACCCCTACCTACCCCCTCACCATAATAATAATGAGGGGCAACCATTTGACTAAGTACCTGTAAAAAAATAAATAAAGGAAAACATCAAATAATAAGTTTTCTTTCTTCTAAAATCTTTTTTCAGCCCCAAAAAAGGCCAAATAAAAAGCCATAATAACCGCCATAAAAAACGAGCGCAAAAAATAAATAAAATTATCCATCTTCACCCATGGAGGGCCACGCGCAGACTGAGCTCTGCAGGGTGGTGGAAGGCTTATAAAGCTTTGCCCCGCCCTGCAATTAGGGTCAGAGCACTCTGATTGGTGGGTTTAAGCAATCCAGAGTGCTCTGACAGGTAAATGAAGAGACTGACAGTTATCTACATTTACCTGTCACAGCACTCTGACAGAAATCCACCCAGAGTGCTCTGTGTTATTTTACACAGCGTGGGAAAGTTCTTTGGAATTTTCCCACGCTGTGTAATTTGATTCATAACTATCTGATTGGTGGATTGAAAGTAACCAATCAGAGAGTTATGAGTCAAATTACACAGCGTGGGAAAATTCCAAAGAATCTTCCCACGCTGTGTAAAATGACACAGAGCACTCTGATTGGTGGATTTAAAGCCAACCAGAGTGCTGTGACAGGTAATTGTAGAGACTTACCTGTCAGTCTCTTCATTTACCTGTCAGAGCACTCTGATTGGATGGCTTAAACCCACCAATCAGAGTGCTCTGAGCCTAATTGCAGGGCGGGGCAAGGCTTTATAAGCCTTCCCCCGCCCTGCAGAGCTCAATCTGCGTGGAGCCCTCCATGGGTGAAGATGGATAATTTTTTTGCGCTCTTTTTTAAAAAAAATTTTTTTAAGGTGTGTTGGTTATTATGGCTTTTTATTTGGCCTTTTTTGGGACTGATAGGTACAGGTACTTAGTTAAATGGTCCCCCCTCATTGTTTTTAGGGTGAGGGGGATAGTTAATGTTTGGGGACCCCTAGTCACCTGGGGGGGTTAATTTTTTTTATTTACGGCCCACACCCGCCGCTCAGGGGTGGGGGCCAGGGGGGAGGACATTAGGTCCTCCCTCCCCATTCTAATTTAGGGCCCCCACCCACTGCTCAGGGGTGGGAGCCAGGGGGAGGACATTAGGTACCCCCTCATTCTGATTTAGGGCCCCCACCCACTGCTCAGGGGTGGGAGCCAGGGGGAGGACATTAGGTACCCCCCCTAATTAGTATTTAGGGCCCCCACCCACCGCTCAGGGGTGGGGGCCAGGGAGAGGACATTAGGTCCCCCCCATTATTTTACTTTTAGGGAACCCACCCGCCCCTCAGGGGTGGGGGCTCGGGAGTGGCTACTCACTGTTTACTAGACATGCCCTACTTTCGGTATAGCAAGTATGGGCATAATTTACTAATATTAAGTAATCTTTACTTAGTATTAGTAAATTTGGCTGAAAGACCATTTTAGGTCTTTCAGCCTTTTGGTAGATAACTCCCTAATACCGTGGGAATTAGGGAATTTATCTACCAAGCGGCTGCAAGAGAAGTTCCCTAGTTGCCGAATTTCGGAATGCTGAACCAAACCAAAAATTTTTTCCCATGCACATGCCTACCCCACATACCTTCCAGAGTTGGTGGGTGACCTCTGCCGTGAATTGGGTGCCCCTATCCTAAATGATCTCCTGGGGAAATCCCATGTGGGAGAAAATTTGCATCAGGGCATCCGCTATAGTCTCTGCATGGACATTGGTCAGCGCCACCGCCTCGGGATATCTAGTGGCGTGATTTACAACGGTCAAAATGTACTTCTTGTCGGAGGGACTGGGCTTAGCTAGAGGTCCTATTAAGTCAACGGCCACTCTGCTAAAGGGTTTTTCAATTATCGGGAGGGGATGAAGTTTTGCTTTATAGCGGTCCCCTCGCTTCCCTACCCTCTGGCAGGTATCACACGTCTGACAATACTGTCTAACATCTTTGTCGATACCTGGCCAGAATAAATTCTGAGTCAGCCAATGTTTAGTTCAGCAGACCTCTAGATGTCCTGACAGCGGGATATCATGAGCTATACGCAGCAAATCCTTTCTGTATTTTCTGGGAACTATCAGCTGATTGATGGGCATAGGGATAGACCCGGCCACTATCTTTTCTGCATAGCTGTAGAACAGGCCCTTGTCCCAGGCATATCTCTCTCCTTCTAAACCAGCCTGGTTCTTGGCTATTCTATCTTTATATACCTGTAGGGAGGGATCTAGGGCTATCTCACTGCCATATTCTAGGGGTGAATCCCATGGGAGAACAGAGGGAATAGGGGGTAGGTTGCTTACCTGACCATCAGAGTGGTTCGATGGAGCCGCGGTGCGGGCCTGCTGCCAGGTGACGGCTGGGTAGGCTTCTTGTACGGTGAACAAAAGCTGAAGTGAGCTCCCCCAAGTCATTGCCCAAAATAACGTCGGCTGGCAAGTCTTGCATGATCCCCACTTCAATGGCCCCTGACCCTGCTCCCCAATCCAAATGTACCTTGGCAGTAGGGACTTTGTAAATCGCTCCCCCTGCTACTCGCATTGCCACACAGTCCTCAGTGAGGTGGTTCTTTGAGACAAGGTAGTTCCGGACCAAGGTTAAGGTGGCCCCGGAGTAACGTAATCCCTGTAGAGGCTTCCCCTCCATGTGTACCACATGGCGATGACCCTGGCGATTATCGGATGCTGCTTGAAAGGGGTTGACCTCATGGAGTGCTCCCAGTGATAGTTCCTCTATCAGGGCGGCTGCAGTGGGTTGGACTGGTTGTTCATTTTGGTAGCAATGTACAGCAGCCCGAGCACCAGGAGGTTGGCCTTGGTTATGCCAGGTTTGCCGTTTTTTTTGATCCGGGGGCAGTCTCTTTGTACATGACCCATCTGATTGCAGGTGTGGCATCGGATATTAGGCCGGGTTGGGTACCTTGGTGGATACTGGTTATTGGCCCCTCCGGATCGTGGTTGGATTGACGTGGCAGGCGCTGGAAGAGGTGCTGCAGAGCTGGGGAAGACACGGTGCTGTGAGCGCTGGTGTCGCCTTGCATCCTGGAGTTAGTCTGCTAGCTTGGCCACGTCTTGTAGGGTACAGGGTTTGCGGTCACTTACCCAGTTCTGTAGGCCTGGTGTCAGCCCCTTGAAAAGTTGCTCTAACACAACCAATTGAAACAGGTCTTACAGGGTAGTGGTTTGTGTCGCTTCTACCCATCCCTTGGCGGCTCGGTGTAGACGGTGGGCCCATTCTACATGTGAGTCGTTGTCTTGTTTCCTAAGCTCCCGAAATTTCTGTCTGTAGGCCTCTGGGGTAATGGCATAACGTGCTAGGATGGCCTGTTTTACCTTTTGGTAGTCTCTGCTGTCCTCATCTGGATCTGCGTGGTACGCCTCTGCTGCGCGGCCTGATAATCTACCGGCAAGCAGGGGTACCTGGTCTGCTGGGCTGATATCATGCAGCTTGCATAATCTTTCAAAATCCTGTAGATATCCGTCAATGTCGTCTGCTGTATCCGTATAGTTTTTAAAGGCTTGGTAGGGAATCTTGGCTTTTCCCTGCATGCTGTTGGATGGGGCTGGTGATCCTCCTCTGGTCTGGATCGCTGGTCCGTCTGTAGTTGCTTGGCCATGATATACTCCTGTACATCTGCCATCAATCATTCCAAAAGTTTCTATAGGTGGTGTTCTTGGAAAAAATAACAGTCTGGTTCTGAGCTCTTTTTGGTATTCTGTTTCCTCTCCCCGTGGTGGAGGTGCTGCATTATTTGCTTGGTCCCCCTCCATGAGTTCAGCAACAAGGGTAGCTTTCATTCTGTTACTGGCTACTTTTCCTTGCTTCCAACAGTTCTTTTAGTGTAGCTCGTTTCAATGCGGCATAATTCTTCTCCATTCACCGTTCGTTCGTGTAGTTGACCATATTTTCGAACTCTGGTTTTTATCTGAATTATTGTTTAGACGAACTTGCTTTCCTTCCTCCGTTCGTATAAACCCCCCCCCCCCAAAAAAAAACTCCCGAACGCTGCTTTGCTGTGCGGTTTGAATCCCACCGCTGCCACAAATTGTAGTGGAGTAGTAGGTTAATCCACGGTATCTCCACTGGGAGTCAGCATGCAAAATACAGGTAGCGTAGTAATAATCCCTTTTTCCCCAAGAACTAGACGACACATAGTTTGGGAGTCAACTGAGCTTTTATTCCAAAGTCACCGTATACATACACAAGTCCCCATGCAAGGGGTTTCCATACTGGCATTGCACGGGTTGGTGGACTCTGTGGAAAACTTACCCAGCAATGCTATATCCCATCATGCATTGCAGTACAGGAGAGATAATTGCGCAAGAATATACTGTTAATTACATTCTCTCCGTACAGCAAAATATACCATGTCACATAAAAGTCCATAACTTGTACCATTTTACTCGGAATTAGCCGAATAACCCTCCATTGAATGGCTGAGATCTGGGCGCACCATCTGGAGAAAAAAAATACCGCTCAGATCCGTTGACTAGAATAGGAAAGCCATTCGAATGAAGGGTTCATACGAACACACATTACTCTTATACCGTGGAAAGTGAACTGTTAGATGGGACCCAGCAAAGGTTACACTATTTGTCCCACAGAGAGCCGTGCAGTGGCTACCACCTGATACTCTAGATGTTGTTTGGAACTAATCCTTACTTTTCAGGGACACATGGTCAACACTGTTCAAAGATAATTTTCTCTTATTTTCAAAATCCTTTTAGTTTTTCAGTAATAAAGCCCAAATACAAGGTGTATCACACCAAAATGTGCCCTGGCTTTATGCCAAGATCCCTCATCCTCCCCCACCTCATTAGTAACGTTATTAGTAAAGCAACACATAGCTCTGGAGGTGTGAATGCGCACATACCAAGGCCTGCTGTCCTGCAACCTTTAATCCACAGCGCTACCTTTTAACTAGGCAACGGGTTTAACATCCACAAAGACACTACCGTGATGTTTGTATGCCAATGTTCTAGTAGTATGTTTTAACGTTTGTTTTACTACTCACTTCATCTTAACTGACAATTAAGGATAACATGACTATACTTAGGAATGTCACCTTTGTACCTTGCGATTAGCATATTGATTAATCCCTCTGGGTCAGTCATCGGTAGGTCCCTAACGAAGCAGTTTCCAGCCAAAAAAATCTTCAGATCAAAGGATATAATATGCGAGACACAATGTATTATTGTTTGTTCTTTGTCTGCAATGTATGAGAATGCCCTCTCACACCCTTTACCCTGTATTGTACCTTTCAAATTAATGCTTTGATCAGAGAATGTTTGGCTCTATTCTGTTTTGTACCCTTCCTATAAAATCTGTGAGCAGAGACCTCCATTCTCATTGTAAATGTAATCGCTCTATTTTACCTTTAATAGAAATTTGAATGCATCTTCGGTGAGCAGGGATTTCTTTTCTCTATATTGTTACATTAGAATTAGATGTCGGCATAGAGCTAATTTTCCCTGTGTTCTACAGTTTGTATTAGAGTATTATTGCAATGTGCAGGTAAAACACATTATGTGGTTGATCCAGGGTATAAAGCAGATTGCTATAAATGGGGTCAGGAAGGGATTTACCGGGGTTTCTATTTGCCTTTCTTTTGGTCAGTAAAAACCCTGCCTGCATGTAAATAATAAAATCATTAAAAATTTTAACTTATTTCTGATTACAAATTATTATTGCACATAACACAGATCTAAGGTAAGGAATTGGGATGGGTGGATACAGTCTCATTCTGGGCTAGTTTAATAAATCGGCCTCCATATAACTAGTAATCAGGAATTAAGGAAATACATAGAACAATGCTCACACTATCATCACAAATATGACTTATACATATACAACTGCTAACAACTGGAAACAGGTGCAAATTTGTATACCAAATTCACTAGCATTTTACATGTAAACTGTTTAAATCTGCACACTGCATTTAACAATCCGGTCCCATATTTCCAGTATTTAGATCCTGATTATGGCCTTGCAGTTGCATCCAGACAGGCTGAAATCAGGTGGACATTAAGTCCATTTGAATGCTGCTTTGCAAAATATGGGCATTGATAAATCTTGAGAGCAATGTCTGAATTATCCAGATGTTTTTTGCAAATCCAGACAGGGGACATTCAACTTACATGGTGTGTGTGTGTGTGTGTGTGTGTGTGTGTATCGCTCTCACTGGACAGAATTATCAATTTCCAGCAAAAAAAAAAAAAAAATGTTCATGGATACCTCATATCCTGAACCAGAATAACAATCTTTGCCAGCATGAGAATGCTATACTTCTACTACTCATAAACGCACAGAAAACAGTTTACATTTTTTTGGTGGCCACAAAGCCCAACATCAAAAGTGTAGATTTTGTGTTTTATAAGAATAGATCAGGGCCGTGCAGTAGACGTTGCTTACCTAGATTTCAGTAAAGCTTTTGACAATGTTGCACATAGAAGGCTATTCAATAAACAGCAATCTGAGTATGGATTCCAATATTGTGGAATGGGCTAAACAGTGGTTGAGTGACAGCCAACAAAGGGATGTAGTCAATGGAGTATATTCAAAACAAGGTTTTGTTACCAGTGGGGTACCTCAGGGATCTGAACTTGGACCCATTCTCTTTTTTTAGTACTGATATTGCAGGAGGTCTTGATGGTAAGGTATGAGTTTTTGATAGTGAAAAACAAATTTTCAACAGGGTTGATGTTCCAGAAGGAATATGCCAAATGGCAAATAATTTAGGTAATCTAGAAAAATAGTCAGAGCTGTGGCAACTTACATTAAATATGGATAAGTGCAAGATAATGCAAAATAATGTAAAAACCCAAGGGCAGAGTATAAAATATTTGATAGAGTCCTAACCCCAACATCTGAGTAAAGGGATTTAGAGGTAATTATTTTAGATGACTTAAAGGTAGGTAGACAATGTAAGAGCAGCAAGAAATGCTAACAGAATGCTTGGTTGTATAGGGGAGAGGTATTGGCAGTAGAAAGTGTTTGTACCATTGTACAGAACACTGGTGAGACCTCACTTGGAGTATTGTATGCAGTATGGAGACCTTATCTCCAGAAGAATATTGAAATTTTGGACAGAGTTCAGAAAAAGGCTACAAACTGCAGGGTAAAACTTACCAGAAAAGGTTACAGGACCTTAACATGTATAACTTGGAGGAAAGACTAGACAAGGGTGATATGATAGAAACATTTAAATACATAAAGGGAATAAACACAGTAAAGGATGAGTATATTTAAAGGAACATTATAGAGTCAGTAGCACAAAAAAAAAGTCTATCTGATCCTGTAGTGTTAAAACCACCCTGCCCCCTCCCCCCCCCCTCAATAAAGCAAAATCTTACCTTTATTCCAGTCTCCTGCTGCTGGCTCTGTCACTGACCTGCTGCTCGGCTATAAGAAGTGGTGTTCTGAGCCAATAAAAATGTGATCACATTGTAAAGCATTGGATTGGCTGAGCGTATTAAGGAGGCAGATAAGGGGCAGAGCCAGCACAAGTCAAACACAGCCCTGGCCAATCAGCATCTCCTCATAGAAATGCCTCAAGTTCGGTGTCTCCATACTGAGGGTGGAGACACTGAATGGCGTAGTAGTGGCCAAAGGAGGTAACCCTGGGCTGTAATGTAAACACTCCATTCTCTCTAATAAGACAGTGTTTACTGCAAAAGCCTAAAGGGAATGATTATACTCACCAGAACAAATACAGTAAGCTGGTGACTATAGTGTCCCTTTAAAAGAAGAAAAACTACCACAACAAGAGGACATAGTCTTAAATAAGGGGGGCAAAGGTTTAAAAATAATATCGGGAAGTATTACTATACTGAGAGGGTAGTGGATGCATGAGAGCCATTCAGATGAAGTGGTAGAAGGTTAACACAATGAGGGAGTTTAAGCACGTGTGGGATACGTATAAGACTATTCTACAGGGAGTGCAGAATTATTAGGCAAGTTGTATTTTTGAGGATTAATTTTATTATTGAACAACAACCATGTTCTCAATGAACCCAAAAAACTCATTAATATCAAAGCTGAATATTTTTGGAAGTAGTTTTTAGTTTGTTTTTAGTTATAGCTATGTTAGGGGGATATCTGTGTGTGCAGGTGACTATTACTGTGCATAATTATTAGGCAACTTAACAAAAAACAAATATATACCATTTCAATTATTTATTATTACCAGTGAAACCAATATAACATCTCAACATTCACAAATATACATTTCTGACATTCAAAAACAAAACAAAAATAAATCAGTAACCAATATAGCCACCTTTCTTTGCAAGGACACTCAAAAGCCTGCCATCCATGGATTCTGTCAGTGTTTTGATCTGTTCACCATCAACATTGCGTGCAGCAGCAACCACAGCCTCCCAGAGAGGTGTACTGTTTTCCCTCCTTGTGAATCTCACATTTGATGATGGACCACAGGTTCTCAATGGGGTTCAGATCAGGTGAACAAGGAGGCCATGTCATTAGATTTTATTCTTTTATACCCTTTCTTGCCAGCCACGCTGTGGAGTACTCGGACGCATGTGATGGAGCATTGTCCTGCATGAAAATCATGTTTTCTTGAAGGATGCAGACTTCTTCCTGTACCACTGCTTGAAGAAGGTGTCTTCCAGGAACTGGCAGTAGGACTGGGAGTTGAGCTTGACTCCATCCTCAACCCGAAAAGGCCCCACAAGCTCATCTTTGATGATACCAGCCCAAACCAGTACTCCCACCTCCACCTTGCTGGCATTTCAGGTGGGACTGGGGCTCTCTGCCCTTTACCAATCCAGCCACGGGCCCATCCATCTGGCCCATCAAGACTCACTCTCATTTCATCAGTCCATAAAACCTTAGAAAAATCAGTCTTGAGATATTTCTTGGCCCAGTCTTGACGTTTCAGCTTGTGTGTCTTGTTCAGTGGTGGTCGTCTTTCAGCCTTTCTTACCTTGGCCATGTCTCTGAGTATTGCACACCTTGTGCTTTGGGCACTCAGTGATGTTGCAGCTCTGAAATATGGCCAAACTGGTGGCAAGTGGCATCGTGGCAGCTGCACGCTTGACTTTTCTCAGTTCATGGGCAGTTATTTTGCGCCTTGGTTTTTCCACACGCTTCTTGCGACCCTGTTGACTATTTTGAATGAAAGCTTGATTGTTCGATGATCACGCTTCAGAAGCTTTGCAATTTTAAGAGTGTTGCATCCCTCTGCAAGATATCTCACTATTTTTGACTTTTCTGAGCCTGTCAAGTCCTTCTTTTGACCCATTTTGCCAAAGGAAAGGAAGTTGCCTAATAATTATGCACACCTGATATAGGGTGCTGATGTCATTAGACCACACCCCTTCTCATTACAGAGATGCACATCACCTAATATGCTTAATTGGTAGTAGGCTTTCGAGCCTATACAGCTTGGAGTAAGACAACATGCATAAAGAGGATGATGTGGTCAAAATACTCATTTGCCTAATAATTCTGCACTCCCTGTAGATATTAATAAGGCCAGAGTCTAATGAAAGTATTAAGAGAACTGTGCAGACTAGATGGGCCTGCACATTCTATGTTTCTACATCACAAGTGTAAAAAAATGGAGTAAAATATATTTGGCAGATCTGCTTCTAGAGCAGATGTGACAAATCATTAAATGCATATTTGTTAGCCCTGTAAATTAAGGGTTATTCACCTTTTTTCCCCAACTTAATTTTTGCATAAAGTCATTAATTGGTAAAGAAGAAAAAGAGCTGGTTGAAAATTTACAATAAATAGTGGCTTTAGGTGACAATGGACTTAAAAAAATCCAATCCAAAATTGTAGAGTATGAGAAAACAAAACAAAAAAAACTTCTTGGAACCTTTTTTAAACTTTGCAACTTGGAATTTACTGTCATCAGATGTGATTATGCAATTACTCAACCCATGTTTTAAATCCATTATCTGACTTCAGATCTCCCCTCTAAAGTGGACATACAGATCTATTAGAATGGTTAGCAAGGTTAATAGATTGATGTAATGAGCTACAATCAAAGGCTTGTTACATCAATCTAGAGTTATTTATTAAGGTCATGATTGCTGGAAATTCATAGCAAATTTCACAATTTGTCATAATAGCTGAAATGAAAACATAACTGGACTGGAAATATTCTCCTACACAGCTATTGTGGCCTAAACTTTAATTTCCTGTTTATTTCAAGTTAAAACCATGCTAGTCAGTTATATTAAACCCTTACAAAGTCCTTCTACAAAATGGGTAATCTATAGTTAATTCGTTTTTCATATGCTCCCATTCACTTTATTTTTTTTTATTTTTTTTAATACAAAAACTGGTGGATATCTGGCACAAATTAATTCCAGGGAATAAAAATCGATGTGAATATGGATAAAACTAGATGGGTAAGGATTAGGTATCAAGGAATATTTCGCATGGATTAATAGTTATTTAAGTATGAGATTAATAACTCAGGGGGTACGGATGAAAAGGACAAGGTTGTGCAAGTTATTATTAGGGCTGCTGTAGGAATTTATAAAGAGAGATGCAGTAGTAACTGTTAGTAACGGCTGGTAATAGATAGAGGTATAAAGGGGTTTTTGTTATGATGCCAGGAGTATCCTGGCCCGGTTTCAATGCTCCCCGGATATCCAGTGATAAATAGACTTCTGCAGTGTCGTGGACACCATGGCCATTCATTGGCTGAGTGTGTCAGCAGACCGCTCTCTCGGTACAGACTACCGCCACGATAACCACTTCAAATCACTGAAGTGGTCAAAGTGCTTGGAATACCACTTCAACAAAACTGAGATATACTTGCAAATACCAACATTTAAGTATTGCATCTTTATTGCAACACTAGAATGTTGACACATGCAAAGATAAACCAAAAGGTCCAGTTTGTTTTCCTGCAACAAAATTGGAAACACCTATCCAGGACTGCTGACGTTGTTTGAGGACTGAATCGCCCTATGTTATTCAAAAGAATGAAATATAGTGTAGATAAGTCAAACAAAAAAAATAAAGTGACAAAATTCTAATTTGTATTGTTTAATGTGACTCGACCCATGTCATTTTAAAAAGATCTGTCAAACAGGTAGAAATAAGAAAGTATGCAAAAAAACCTGCAAAGAAAACATTTTGAATCCTTTAGTGGCAGAAAACAAACAAAAAAAAACTACATCAACCGTACTCCCACTGTCGGATCACTTATGCTATAGCTGCCAAGTAATCCTTCACTTCAGCAGGGGTAAGCCTTTTAAACCCAGCTTCATTACAAATGCCAACTTCAATATTGTCTTCTGTCATTTGCCCTTCAAAGCTTTCCTGTTAAGATGCAGAAATATGTGTTATTATAAATATTAATATGATCAATACTTTTTTAATCCAGTTGCTGAGTTTGATAAATACCTTGAGTGTTAAGATTGCAGTGTGAATAGCATCCTCAAGCTCCAAATTCTCATTGTATCTAAAAGTAAAATTACAGCAACATTAGCTTAGTTTGTACTAAATAGAAATGTAATGATATACAGTCCCAATATGAGTTTAGCTAACCTAAGAACAACAAATATTCAAAACCATAAAAAAGTCAGGAGTTTAAAAAAAAAATAAAAACATTTATTAATTAAAAAATGGTCCGCCATATTCAGCTTTTTGAAAAAAAAAAAAAAAAAACACACCACCAAAATCACAGACAATCGTGATTTTGAAGTTACAGCTAAACATGATGTGTTTTAAGCTACCTATGAACTATTCTGTGTACCTTTTTTCCAGGAACGTTTTTCCATTTACATAATTTTTTCCCATTGCTGTTGCTTTCCAGGCAAAATAGGCTCCCTTAAGAGAAAAAAAATACACCATGTTTACAAAAAACAAAATGCCAAACAATGATTATTAGAAATCAGTTCTGCACAAAATGTAAGCTGCCCAATATTTCTAAAGCAGTATAAATAAGCAAAGGGCACAACATAATTACATTTCTTCTGAGATGTTTAAAAGCAGTCACGTATAACGAAATTTGATAGGGATAAAAATGGGATAAAATGCTGGCTCTCTCCTAAATTCTATGCACTCACCTAAATTCATGAAACATGCTTTTAACCCCTTAAGGACCAAACTTCTGGAATAAAAGGGAATCATGACATGTCACGTGTCCTTAAGGGGTTAATGTACTTTTCATTAGTGTCAAACTAAGAGGTGTAAGTTCATCACTTTCCTCACTACCATAAGCATAGAGAGAGCAATAAAGTAGAACGTGCAATACATAAGTGATCTTCACGATTAAGAGTTTTCAATTATTGTTCCACTCATAGTACTTTAGCTTAATATTTATAACTATCTGCCCACAATCCTAGTTTTCATAATGTAATTTATATTGATGACGACGCACTGCAGTGTTGGCCATGTAATTGTAGAGTGTGATATATTCATAGAGACCATTTTCAAATATGTAAATGCAACTTAGAACGCACTGCAACAATAAAAATCATTAAAGCCCAAAACGAAAAGCACACAATCTTACTTACAGATGGATCAGACTGAAACAAATATGGCCGTCCTTCATCCCAGCCTGCGATTAATAATGAGACTCCAAATGGACGCACACCACTGAGGAAACAAACAGACCAGCTCATTTAACAAGGAATTAATTCCTTTATGCAAAAACAAATGTAACTAACTCAGGGCATGTTTTTAAAGACATCATTCAAAAGATTCTGCAAGTAGTAAAACAAAACAAGTATACAGAAGGAGAAAAAAAAAACAAAAAAAGAAATACCTAGGAAATGTACTTTTTCACTCACTAGTGAGAATCTTCAGGATGCTCAGATACTTTAAATATAATTTATACTACCAGCAGCCAAAAAAACTAAACTGGACTAAAATTCAATTATACTTTTTGTCATTTGTATATTACTTAAAGTAAACCCGTCATGACACGTTCAGGAGCAGATAACAGCTGCTAAACAAGTAAATACAAAACTTGTCATAAAGATAATATTTTGATAGACTTGTTTGCTTTATGAGCGGTTTTATTAATCCTCGATTCATCTCCAGCATGACAGCTTCTCCATAACAGATAGAATCTGGTGCATCCACCCAATGTAAAGCGCTACGGAATTTGTTGGCGTTATTAATATTGTCTCTCCGAGAAGGGTGGTGATATCGGTCACGTTTCTGGGAGTCCAAGAATACCTTACAATACTTTTCTCTTTGCACAGAATAGAAAACTGGGGAGTCAATAGGGGTACTTTCCCAGAGGTTAGAATTATATTACATGCACACACAGATATTTATTGGAGGTTATGTGCTGTATACATTTTCTGTAATTTCTGCGTAATTATGTGTGTTACCCAGATCAACAGCATATCCTGGTGTCTGCAATATCAAACATCACTTACTTTTATAAAATATCAAAGTAATAAGATTTACCCAGACTGTGTGTATTCCTGCATAACGGAGGCTACTCGCTGTACTAATTGTGCTGTTGGAATGGGCTCTTGGTACACAAGGTAATATTGCTGGGCTAGTTTCCGGGCTCTTCGAACAAGAACTCTGTAGCAGGAAGAAAAAAAAAAAAAAGGAATCAATCAGGGTTAAAAAATAAATAAAAATAAGTTACGCTTGTTTTAAATCACCATGAAAAAATTCAAAATTTACAACATACTCAAATATGTATACTACTACTTTTACATTGGCTAAAATGTCCAAGCTGGTGTTGTCAGCACTGATTTTTTTATCGTTTCAACAGAAAGGCTGCAAAAAGAAAAGACAATGCACAGAAACAAAACTGCATAATAACAAAGTATTAATACAGAAAATAGGGCGCCACTTATCATAAGCTTAGTGGTTGGTATATTTACCCTCTTTTTGTTCGGTATGAAACCCTCACATAAAAAGAGAGAGAGAGAGAGAAATCATAGTGCAAACTTTAATTCAAACAGTAATAAAAAGTAAAAAAAAATATAGCACTCAAACAATATGGCACATTTGAAAATTATCAATATGTGCATAAAAGATGTAGCCTTCAAATGGGCGTAATCCCTGGGTGTACCAGTCTGTAGTAGTTTTTCAGATTCCACAAGTTGGCAGATAGAACTGAGCTCCTGACAAAGTCTGAAAACTTAGAAGAGACGAAACGCGTTGAGCAGACCCCGACCCTGGAAGGTGTTTTCCGGTATCTGATGGTGTAACTATCGGTTCTACCAACTTGTGGAATCTGAGCAACTACAACAGACTGGTACACCCAGGGATTAAGCCCATTTGGAGGCTACAGCTTTTATATATATATATATATTGATAATTTTCAAATGTGCCATATTGTTTGTGAGTGCTATATTTTATTTTAGTTTTTATTACGGTTTGAATTAAAGTTTGCACTATGATTGTTTCTCTCTCTCTCTTTATGTGAGGGTTTTGTACCGACCAAAAAGGGGGTAAATATACCAACCACTAAGCTTGTGATAAGTGGCCCCCTATTTTCTGTATTAATACTTTGTTATTATACAGTTTTGTTTCTGTGCACTGTTTAAGGATACAGGGAGTGTTTTCCCACCTATAGTGGCTTGCCTGCACAACTGTACCACGCAGCTGTCTTACCGCCGTTCTTTTGCTACAAAAAGAAAAGACACTTGGGATTTGCAGCACTCAAAGTAGTTTAAACCTATTCATGGAGATATGCAGTTTAGCAATCAGTCTTTTTACTAAACACAATACAGCACTCGGTAAACTGAACAGCCAAAATCTTCATTCACAAAATCCAGTTAAAGGGTTATTCTAAGCACCATGACCACTTCATTGTTTTAAAAAGATCTTGGAGTAAGGACCTTGTATACGCAGCCTTTCAGTATAAAACACTGAGATATCCTATGTTGTCGCCAGTGGTGTAACTCCACAGATTTCTGTTCTGGCCAGTGTCAATTCTTTCAGCAAATAATGACTGCTGGGATCACCTTCCAGCTTTTACAGCTGTGCAGAAGCCGCATGGAAGTCAACCAGCATGTCAGGAGGCTCATTGCACAGTGTGACTCAGGTAAGAGGCAGACCATTGCAAAACAGTTTACCTATTACTGAGGAACAGCACGAAGGTACACCCAGCATCATAACCATTGTACGGAGTATGATGCTTGGAGTAACACGTTAAGAGCAGCTGACATAACACTATTAACTTGCACCAGTAACTTCATTCAATGTTTTCATGAGTAAAATCACGTGCCCTAAAATAATAGCTGGATTAAACCAAGAATTTCATAGAAGTTAAAACTGAAGACATCCTGGTTAAGAACAATGGAGACACTCAGATATGGTACAAGTGATAAAAAGATAAATATAAATAAAGGCATGTGGCAATGGGGAGGGGGGTGGGGTTATAATAATTATAGGGAGTCTCATTTATTTTCTAATTTACACTATTTTACCGAAAACATAAATTAACCTTTTTCATGAGATGCTCACAAACCAGTTCAGACAAGTGAAAGAGTGAAAACATTGCAAAATGTAGAAGAAGAAAACATCTAATTTTAATTTAAATGTTTAATTTCTGCTCTTCTCTATGCTGACTTTCCGATGCAAAGCATCAAGCTTATAACATAGAATAACATGGAAGGACGCACCAAGTTACAAGATAAAGAGGTACCGTATATATACTCGATTATAATACGACCCGAATATAAGTCGAGGCCCCTAATTTTACCACAAAAAACTGGGAAAACTTATTGACTTATTGCAGCAGCTACTGGTAAATTTCTAAATAAAATTAGATCCCAATAAAATTACATTAATTGAATATTTATTTACAGTGTGTGTGTGTGTGTATGTATATATAATGATAGGCCATTCATTGGTTGAGTATCAACTGTGCGTTCAGAAATGTATGTACAGAATCAACATTACCCAGCCAGGAACACTTGTTCAGGGCAGATTGATGATGCCCAAATGAGACTGCTTTAAGTGGAGTTACAACTCTGGCAGCAAAGGGGTTAAACCTCATATGGGCCCTGTTTCATAGTGAAATGCTGCACATACAGACTCCAGCAACCATGACAACTTCAAATCACGAATGTTGCTGTAGTGCTTGAGGGTAACCCTTTAAATTTAGGATTGAAAAAAATAAAATAATATTAAAAAGCCTGGAAAGTGACAGATCCCCTTTAAAGGACCACTCTAGCATTAGTATTGTAATATAAACATGTATACCTAATGCTAATGTTCTACTGTCTTCTTAGATTCAGGCCCCGACAAGAAAATAAATATAAATAAATATAAATATAAATATATATAAATATAAATATATATATATATATATATTTTTTTTTTTTTTAATTCACTTTATTTCACAAAGGCACACCAATCTACTCGCACTGCTCCTCCTCCACTGACTGAGATAATCAATACTGAAGCACTGAGGGGGCAAAGCAATTACGCGGCAGTCGTCAGTCTCCTCATTGAGATTAATTGACTCTCTCTGCCCCAGAACCACTACAATAAGAGATAGTGGTTCTGGTGCCTACAATGTCCCTTTAATATACAACAGGCACATGATAAGAAAAAATACATAAACAAAACTAAGGCAGCGCCACTTGATTTCTTTAAATACTTCCTTTTGAAAGTGGACATGGAGCCAAGGTACAAGCATATAATACTAAGCAATTATACATGAATGTTTACATCACATAACATAACATTGAAGCTATTCTCCCACTTGTCAGCTGTCAGCAGAGTGCATTAAAAACTTCAATAGCGGGGGGTGGAGACTGACTGCCAAAGCGAACAGTCGCATGTGTCTGGAGCTCCGGACCGCAAAGCTGATAAATACCCTATTTTCCGATACCCAGACCGGACCAACAGGGCCCGACAACTCTCCCTGGAGCCCTAAACCCAGATGGGGGAAAAAAAAATGAAAAAAAGCGAGGCAAGAAGAGCCCCGAATGAGCATAAACATAGGAGAGATGTGGCAGCAGGCTCATGGCGCTCAAGGGCCTGGGATGGCGACCATTACTGGGGATTGCTCGGACCTCTCAAACGACTTTTCCTGTGGAATCGATAAGGGATACATGCCAGCTCCGGCGCTCCCCCCGCCGCTGATCCCGACGACAATGCCAGACTCAGCTCCGGTGACGGCCGCACTCCTGAAAGAGCTACTGGCGGACTTACAAAAGAACCTCCAGGCAGACATGGCCATGATCCACCAGGACTTGAAAGGCCTGACTGGCAGGATAGGAGCCCTGGAAACCACCTCACTCTCATCCAAAAAGCAGATCACCACCCTCCAGCAAGAAGTCCAGCGAAAACTAAACGGCTCCAATGAAGGCCGCTTTGCTGCCCTTGAAGACTCCCGCCGTCGGAACAACATAAAGGTCAGGGGGATCCCTGACAACGTACCTGAAGCGGAGCTCCCGCATGTGGTGAGGAGACTATCGGCCCTGCTCACGCCCAAAACGGTAGAGACGGAGGGCATATTCAAAGTGCCCAAACCCGCCCAGGCACCAACCTCGGCCACAAGGGACTTGATCATACAATTCGTTAGAGGAAGAGACAAAGCAGCCCTCCTAAATGCACTGCGCGGCAACTCACCTTACTCCTTTGAAGACATTTCCCTGACTTTTTATGCAGATCTGAGCAGTAGTACCTTGGCATGGCGTCGGGAGATGCGGCTGCTTACCACCCTCCTACAAAAACATAACCTCAGCTACAGATGGCGCCCTTCACGTGCCCTGTCAATTGCCCACGGGACTACAACCCACATCATCCGAGACCTCCGGGAAGCCGCAACAAACCTGCAGCAACTGGGCATTCCCCAACACCTCCTCAACATCGATGCACCGGAGGCAGCACAGCGACCAACCCACGGATGGAACCCGGGAAACTTCGGCGGAATTTGTGCCCAGACAGGTCACCCAGGGCTCACAGGACAGAGCCAAGACCTGACTTTATAAGAGACAGCCTATCACAGGCCCAGTTCGGGACTCATGCAATCTGGCACTTAAACCCGCATCCCCACTCACACGTAGAGCATATAACGCTCATTAACCTCCCTTAGACTGGAAGAAGGTATTCGCCATTGTTCCCCCTACCCCCCTTTTCTCTGGCCCAGGGGTTAAATGGGCTAGAAAAGAGCATACCGCCCACCTGAGTTTGCCAGTCTGGGGCACACTAACACCCGCTGTCCCCATTCCTCTTAATAGAGACACTAAATGCCGCAATACGACCAAGTCAGAGAGGACACCTGACCACAATGGGTCTTTTTTTTTGTTTTGTTTACACTGTATATATTGTTTTCTCCGTAGGTATGCAACATTGCTTCCACACACACTACACCCCTCTGGGGCAACCGGGGGCCCCACATGAGAGGAACCTTGCATTGACACACCTACTCACCCAGCAGCCTGATATGCCTGCAATTTATAAACGGCACACTACCCGAATACACAAAGACCACAAAGCAAGAACTACTGGCAACCTCTGTCCAGCACAGCACAACAGCACCCACACAGAGGATTTGCTCACAGAGCATACAGACACACGCTACAGACACTCTGTTATACAGTTTCCAAGTGTGCCTTCCCAGACCCACTAAGAGACCACACGCATCCCAAATTTCACCACAAGCAACTATAGCGCAGGATATACACCTAGCATACAAACAAAATCACTATTATTTAGTGCTCAATGAGACTCGCACGACTCTCTTAAACTCCTTGCAAGTCACACCTCACTTTAGGGAAACACCACATTTTACTATGAACACTTCCAAGCTACACTACACCTCTGTATGTTGAAATTCATGTACCATAAAATAATGTGCGGATAATCGAGCCACTGTCTAAAATGTATATAACGTGAATGCTGTTGTGGCGTCTGATATTGCAATATAACAACCTGCACAACAAAAATAAAGAATTAAACAACAAACAAACAAAAAAACACTTCAATAGCAAAGAAATCCATCATGCATGAAAATCACCTGTAGTCCGGTCCCATGCCACTGTAGACCATGCCTATGTGTTTGGTTATTGGTTCCACTTTATGTACACTTTGCTCATCATACAAGATTGATTTCTGTTTCTTTTCAGTTGCCAAAACCACACCGTTTGACGCTGAAATGCAAAATTCACATTATATCAGGGAGTTTAACAAGAAGGACAAAAATATGGCTTGTTATTCATCTATTGTACAAGCTCTATTTCATGTAAAACAAATACTAAACTAAAAATGATTTATTAACTAGACAGTCGATGTTTGTAACAACAGTCACTGAAGCTGTATGGATAGATACCTTTTATTCCAACTGAAGGAGCACCAGCAGCGACAGCAGCCAAAGCATACTCAATCTGAACAAGTTTGCCTGACGGACTAGGGAGGAATAGGAAATACAAAATTAAAGAGAAGGTTATTCAAACTGCAAAAGTTGCATGTTTACCTAGTTATGAGGGGTTTACACAATATCTTTACTCTTGTAAGTTTAGAAATCCTAGAAATATAAATTTGCCTAGAAACAAGATCTGTTTTGAATGTTTTGGATTACTGTGCTTTCTTGGACATTCTACACTGATATAATCTTGGAACCGCTCAAATGCAAATGCTTGGTTAAAGAAAAGTAAGCACCCAAGTTTCCAATAAAACAGAATCAGTCCTAATATTAGGATTCACATATACAAACTAAATTACTAGTTTTTAAAACTAGTTTCCTACATATTTTAATAACTAAGGGATGTTTTGCTCAGCTATGAAACAGTGCCTTTATCATTTTCTTTCTTGCATGTTAAAATAAATATTCTATACAAATGCAGGACATGCACCTTTTGCAGTATCACACATTGCTCACTGTTCTTACAATTATAACAAATACATGTGTAGGTCTATCATACTGTAAAGGCTATATGTAGTCACTATATATATATATATATTTTTTTTTTTTTAAATAACTCATAAAGAACAGCATTTTAAAATGAACCCATCATGACAGCTCTAAAACCAGTAAATGTCGTTCATACTTAACTCCTCTCTATTGTGTTAGTGCCTCCATAAAAGAGTGACCCTGCTCTTTCCAACACACTTACTTTATGAACTCTGCCTGGGAACACCTCCGCAACCAGGGCACTCCATCCCATGGTTTAGAAAAGTTGACTGCATTGCCAGTGCATCGGTATCATAAAGGGAGAGTGATTCTTCTAGAAAGTGTGGGAACCACTTGCTAGAGGCGTAATCAAGGCCTATGTATATAATCCTCAAAATATGCGCAAAGTATATAAAAATAAGGTATGCATTATTAATATTTCTGTTAAAGGGACACCATATCCACTGCATCGTATTATCCCAGCACATTGATCTATATCACTCAGAGTTCTATTAATAGCTCTCAGACAGACAGCTACTGGATGTGCTTCTTTGTGAAGACTTTCAATAAGCCTTCACATTCAGCATTGCCAAACACTTTGAATGCTTCTATATAGCAGGCAGCCAAATGGCTGAGCACATAATTTGCCCCAGATCAGCCATAGGCCCCATTGCTTCTGTATGAGGAGCATTGGACTTGCCCACCATCATCCGCATGATCTCAGAAGTGGAGCAGCTGCTACACCAAGACAACAATGGCAATTAATTAAAAAGGGTTTTAACTACAGGTGGGCCCAACAATCTAAAGAAGAGGAATATTAAAGGAACACTATTGTGTTAGGAATACAGACATGTACACTATAGTTTTGGAATAGTTGTTTCGGTCCCCAGATACCTCTGTGAAGTTTTAAGGTGATTAAACGTACCTTTTCTCTCTCCCCGGTCTCACCTCGATGGTTGACAACAGAAAAGTAATTGGCATGCGCAGGAAAACGCTGCGCCAATCAGCATCTCCTCATAGAGATGCATTAAATCAATGCATCTCTCTAGGGAACATTCAGCGTCTCCATGCATAGCGTGCAGATGCTGAACAAATCTGTTGCATCACTGAACTAGGAAGTACCTTTAGCAGCCGTCTGAGCGACTGCCACTAAAGGTAGTTCTAAAAAGGCAGCATTGACATTAAAAAGCCTGCAATAACATGCTATAGACACCAGAAACCCTACATTAAGCTGTAGTGGTTCTGGTGGCTGTAGTGTCCCTTTAACTATAAATAACTATATATATTTACAACAGAGTATTCCTTTAAAGTGAGCCGGTCATGTTGAGTTTGCATCATTGTATAACACATAAACCAATTTATACATCACATACAAGAAAAAAAAATATATATATATTCAGTTTATTTTAAATCGTATTTATCCCGTCTTTATTGTTCTGACATCCATAAGTCTTGCCACATTCAACCCTGCTATGCTATCCCGCACTTAATGTGATTGCCTTACTTGGTAACACTCACCCAGGGCCATCTTCAAAGTGCATCTGCATCACAACATAGTGACAGATGTTGACATATTCCTCCAGCAAGTACAACATGCATTTGTTGGGAGAATATTTGTGCTGGAGAGCAAGAGAACTGGTTGTAGGAGGGTTTTCCTTCTGCCAACTTAATTTAGTGTTTCACGACTTTTCAGCAGAAGTACCGTTTAAGGCATGGGGGAAAAAAAAATACTTCTATCCAGGGTAATAAGACTTTACAGCCCTCAGTAAAAATAGAGTCTGCTACTCCCTCATGTATCCCACATCTACCTTCAGACTCTTTCCATTCTTTCACCTTACTTGCTCTGACAATCTCTCTTCCTTAGATCTCAAAACGTCTTTTCCCCCCATGACTTGCTATCCAATTTACACTGTACGTTTGTTTTCAACTTTCTGCCCCTTTCCTTCTATAATTTTCATGCTAACATTACCCACTCTGCCTCTCCGTGTGGGATAAAAGCTGCAGGTAAGTTCATGCTTAAAGGGATTCTATAAGTAATATTCCTTACACTAGTTTCCCCTGCCCCATTCCAACGCTGGATGTCCTCATGCAGCATCGGTCGCCTAGCAAGCAGGAAGTGCTTCTAGTAGCTGTCTCATTGACAGTCACTAGAGACAATCTTAGTCCTACAATGTAAGCATTGCAGTTTCTCAAAAAACTGCACTGATTTACATTGCAGGACTAAGTGGGACAGGGACACTGCACCCAGACCACTTCAATGAGATGAAGTGGTCTAGGTTCCTATAGTGAACCTTTAACTTGTGACCCAGTTTCTTTTCATTTAACCCTCACTATTATAATCCATGGTGGTCCATTGGGCAGGGATTGTGGTCTGCACCTCTTGTAGGTGCAGAATTCTTGCACTGTTTCCAGTCTGGGGTTCTGTGAATGGCTGAGGGTTGCTCAGCCGCAGTGTTATGATTCACTGAAAAACAGTGGACCACAAGGGAGCTAACAATGATCTGTCCTTGCCTGCGTTACACACCATATGCTCCCTTGCTATACTGAGAGAGTGCTGGACCGAGCAGGGGAAGTTTTTGATCTACCTACCAATAGTGATGTCCCAAACGGTTCGCTGCGGACTCATCATTGAGTAAACTTTGACCCTGTACCTCACAGTCAGCAGACACATTCCAGCCAATCAGCAGCAGACCCTCCCTCCTCCTGGACAGCATCCATTTTACATTCATTTTGAAGCTGCATTCTTAGTGAGCTGTCCAGGAGGTGGGAGGGTCTGCTGCTGATTGGCTGGAATGTGTCTGCTGACTGTGAGGTACAGGGTCAAAGTTTACTCAATGATGAGTCTGCGGCGAACCGTTCGGGACATCACTACCTACCAACCTTCAGAAAGCAGGATGTCCCCTCCACGTACCCCTTAATACAGCTTTGTATTCCTAGCACTATGGTATCCTTTCAACTATGCAGATGAAAACATTGCAATTTTATAGAAACTGCAATGTTTTCATTGCAGTGTTAATATTGCCTCTAGTGGCTGTCTAGCAGACAGCCACTAGAGGAGCTCTCTGCTGTTTCACAAAGTTTAATTTCATGAAACGAGAAAAACGAATGTGCGCATGACGCTCGCTGAACATGCACATTAGGTCCCCCCTTGCAATGTTGTTGGAGGAGGTGTAGACAGAGTCAATCGTGGGACCTCGGCTCTAGAATTAGGTGAGTGTTTGAACGGGTTATTTCAAATACAAAATTGTATTACTAACACTATAGTGTTCCTTTAGGATCACTCCAGGCACCATAACTTAATTTCATTGAAGCACTGGCCTAGGAAGCACCTCTAGCAGCCAACTGAGTGGCCAGTGGAGGTACCCCTAGGCTGTAATGTAAACACTGCATTTTCTCTGAAAACAGTGTTTACTGGAAAAAGCCTGAAGGGAATAATTATACTCACCAGAACAAATGAAATAAGCTGTAATTGTTCTGGTGACTATAGTGTCCGTTTAACTACCTAGTCTTCTTTATTAGGTTCTGGCACAATGAGCAAGCTATTCATTATAGCTAAAGCTATTTTAAAGAAAGGACAAGATCCGCATGTAAGATGGTTCTACTGCTCATCCATTACTCAATTGTTGTCATACACGTTTGAGCCAACAAATAACTGACATAAGAAAATAATTTGATATGAATTATACTTGCATAATGCAAAGATAATTATTTTGTACTTTCATTTAAAGTTTTAAAGAGTTTTTAAAAAGTCCAAATAAGGGCAAATGGCTACTATGACCATTTGTCAAGACCTGCAATAAGAAAGTGGAACAGACAAAAGAATCAAAAGTGAAAGTGAAACAAACTTTTCAGAGTAACGATGTAGGCCTGAAGATATTTTTTTAAATCTAGTTTTATCATGCAATCCTTTATCTTCAAATGTTAAAATTACACAATTTTTTTTTTACCTATGTTATTTTAATGTTTAAATATAAATTAACATGAAGTGCTTTAAACCTATGCGATTTAATGTGAAGAATAGATGTTTAACTTCAAAAGTGCAACATCATACTTTCAAGACTAGAATGTACACAGGAGCCTGGGAGACCAATACCTAAAAACTGTGTCAATGGATATATTTTCTAAATATTTTGAACCCCTACAAATCCTTATTAACTCCTTAAGGACCAAACTTCTGGAATTAAAGGGAATCATGACATGTCACACAAGTCATGTGTCCTTAATGGGTTAAGTTACTGGCACCAATAAATTATCAAGGATTCATCTGTAAATCTGGGATTTAAAACTGGATTATCCTTTAAGAGAATCCAGAAGCAAGGCTGTGCCTACCAGCACCTGGTTGAATACAAGCAAGTTGTCAAACTGTTCCAAAACAGTTTCACAAAATTTCTCTGGAAGGTTGCAAGAGCACTCGCACCACCACAACCAGAACAGTGGGCAGGTAAGTTCCTGCTTCAATGTTTGAGGTAGTAGGACAAAGCAGCATGGTAAAGAACTATGTTCAAAGTTATGCATAATGGATATTACTAAAGTAATATGGGACTTTAGAACGCAAGGTAAATGTCAAACAGTTCAGAAACAGTTTAACTTCTTACCATGGCACCATAAGCACCACAGCCAGCAGTAGTGGTTATGGTACCTAAAGTACCATTTTAAGCACCAGGTTCTGGTTCATGGACATTGACTTCACTCCAGACAAGGTGGAATCTGCATTCCATAAACCAATAAAAGGAATAGTAAAATGGACAGAAAATGGGCAGCAGTGAAATCTATTAGTACACTTCAAATAGAGGACAACTTACGAGCGGATATATATATATTTTTTTTTTTAAATACCATATTAAAAAATATTAATGAACAGAGCTGTGCCGTTTACTAGCATTTCATTATAACAAATACATACAACTAAACAACCCCCTTATGATGATGTATGGTGTGCCAGCATCAACCCAACAATGAAGAAAAAGCATTACATTTTTAAAAGCCATCAATATAGGCCATCATAGAGGTAGTAATGCAAGCTGGTTTGAGCAGATCCCTCAACACCCTCTGCTCCTGTTCGTCCACCTTCACGTGTTGCAAATACATCTCTGTCGGTGCCTCTATTGTACAGCGCTACGGAGTTTGTTGGCGCTTTATAAATAATAGTAGTAAAGCTGTGGCACCCCGACCATTGTGAAGCTAGACCCTGAATGAATGGTGGAGTACCCGGGGGACACCAGCAGGGTATAGAGGGCTTTGTACACACAGCATGGATCACCCAGTGTGAGAGAGACTCCATGAATACTGGGATAACACGGAGCCATGGTCGGGCGGTGTGATGGCTGACACTGAGCAAGGCTCCCATCCCGCTCACAGCCCCCGTTACGGCAGGCCCGGCACTCACAGCCCCCGTTACGGCAGGCCCGGCATTCACAGCCCCCGTTACGGCAGGCCCGGCATTCACAGCCCCCGTTACGGCAGGCCCGGCACTCACAGCCCCCGTTACGGCAGGCCCGGCATTCACAGCCCCCGTTACGGCAGGCCCGGCATTCACAGCCCCCGTTACGGCAGGCCCGGCACTCACAGCCCCCGTTACGGCAGGCCCGGCATTCACAGCCCCCGTTACGGCAGGCCCGGCATTCACAGCCCCCGTTACGGCAGGCCCGGCATTCACAGCCCCCGTTACGGCAGGCCCGGCATTCACAGCCCCCGTTACGGCAGGCCCGGCATTCACAGCCCCCGTTACGGCAGGCCCGGCACTCACAGCCCCCGTTACGGCAGGCCCGGCATTCACAGCCCCCGTTACGGCAGGCCCGGCATTCACAGCCCCCGTTACGGCAGGCCCGGCACTCACAGCCCCCGTTACGGCAGGCCCGGCATTCACAGCCCCCGTTACGGCAGGCCCGGCATTCACAGCCCACACTGTGCGGTGACTCTGCAAAGTTCCCTGTAGGGGAAGCAGCGCCGTGGCCGGCCTTCCAGGCGGTGTCAGGCCCGGCTCAGACGCACGGCGTGCACAGCGGAGAGTCCCGGCACACAGAGGACGAGAATGCCGGGCTAGCAGAGTGTGCCAAGGCACCGCACATACCTAAATGTGGTCAGAGAGAAACTGTAACCGCGTTCCGCCATCTTCACTAGCGCTCCTCCGCTCTGTCACAGGCACGACGTGCGCGATGACGTCACTGCGTTTCTCGCGTCACTGCGTCTCGCGCACTCCCATTGGCTAATCCAACGTGCACGTCGTGCTCGGCGAAAGTGCTGCCGGGACTTGTAGTACGGATTGCTAGTAATAGCCTACAATACAGTATTATTATTACAGCACAGCCACTACTGAGCTTTTCGCGAACTCTCTGTGCTATAGCCAGACATATTACAAGTATACAAGGCTTGTATCACTAGACAATGACAGCACTGAAATATCCATATTAATGAATTATGCCAGCAACTAATCCTGACTGACAGTCCCAATGAATCGATGTTACCGATTAATGATACTAATTGTTTGAAAGGAGTGGCCAACATGTTAGATTACCCCAGCTATAACAGAAATACAACACCCAGGGTACTGTGCCAGTCCTACGCCTGGCAAGGCATTATGGGAGTTGTAGTTGTATACTCATTGAGGATTAAGATGTGGGATGTGGAAGTTATATATGTATTAAAACCAGGTTTGTAAAAGTGAACTAGTCTGCTTCTCATTCTGATTATTATTATTTTTGATATGATATGGCATAAGTCAGTAAAACATATTACCATGTGACACAATGGAGAAGAGTTACAATACAAAGATCACAATGCGCCTATACACTTTCTCCATGTCACTTGGTTGGCGGCGGCCATGTTGTGATTGGCGCACGCTGTGCCTGTGCATCACGTGACAGCGAGTGACCTCAGAAGAAGGTGACAGCGTGCCGGGGTGTGAGGGAAAACATGGCGCTTCCCGGCGGGTCGGTTCGAGGACTCCTCAGTGCTGTGCTGCGGGGCTGCCTGAATGCCGAGCAGAGCGTGCTGAGAGCTCTAGGGCTGCAGCCCATGTCACCGGGTGAGAGGGCACATCCCATTGTATTGTAGGAGCTAGATAATGCACTATGTATGGAGCCCATGGCATGGGGTAATAACATAATCACTGAGCATAACAATCCACACTGACACTGCAGGGGCAGGATCAATACACCAAAACTGATTCACTAAGCTAAAGTTGTTTTGGTGCCTATGGTGTCCCTTTAATCATCTTACTGCATTTTCAAACTTTAAATTACAATTAACTAATTTATTAAACTAAAGGAATGTTATTTCCTTAAAGGACCACTATAGTGCCAGGAAAACATACTCGTTTTCCTGGCACTATAGTGCCGTGAGGGTGCCCCCACCCTCACGGCCCCCCTCCCGCCGGGAAACTGCTATGTTTATTTAAAAAATGGGTTAACCCTAGCTGGACTTGGCACCCAGACCACTTGATTAAGCTGAAGTGGTCTGGGTGCCTAGAGTGGTCCTTTAATATTTGGGGACAGATTATCCTAGTATTCGCAGGTCAGAACCTTGCCTTCACAAAACTGGAACATTTACATCATACATATTCAAGGGGTTCTATATGCACCTTAAGCAGTATAACTGAATATAGTGCTTCTGTTATAAAGTTTTTGGGTGTCACATTTTTGGATAAAATTATCGAACTGGAAGCAAAGCTGACAGGGTCTTCTTCATTTATAAATAATCTTTTTCTATAATTGTAAAGTGCTGCAGAATGTCTGAAGTCATACGTAGGCCTGAAAACTGCAACATTTCCCAGAAACTGCCCAATTATAATATGCCGCCATTTTGGCGCTTGTACTATCCGTATAAATCCACTTGTTAGTGATATATAAATAAAATATTTGTGTAAGGGCACATTTATTATACAATATATTTGGATATATATGTGCATATATTTATCTAATGCACAAGAACCAGCACACTCACTTTTCCAACTAAACAGCAATGTTGAGAGATTGTATTATCTTTTTTAAAAACACCTAATCCTATGTTTCGTGCTCATAGTCCCTGGATCATCTTGTTCTTTCCCCTGTTCATCTGGCCGTTCGGTAAAATTTCACTTCACATATTAGGAGCTTCTTGTTCGACCACCGAACAAATTACCAAACGCCAGACCACCCATATGTGGAGTGTGCCGCTCGTTAACCCCAATAACCTCTGTTCACACTTCCCCTAACTACAATAACATGAACATTCCAAGCGGTCGGCTGGGTGGCCGCCGTTCGTATGTGTGAACACGTGGTGGCAGCCATCTTTAGCCACGAACAGAGACAGCGGTGTTTGGTCGCCGAGTGCATTGAATTAAAATTGGACACTCAACGGCGCGAAGACCACTGTGACTTCTACCCTCAGTTATGTTACTGGGGATTCAGACGAACAGAGTGGCGTTCGGGGGAGCAAACTCCCGAACAAGATAAACAGAATGTCTGCACGAACAGTTTATGCCTTGTTTATCGCCTATTTGATACTCCCGAAAGAGACCGACCGCACAGCCTAATTTTATGGAACCTTTTTGGGCAGGCACCTCGTGTGCGGTTGGTCTAACGTATACCCCATGTGGCGTTTCAGCTGCGTTCGTGGGATCTGAGCGCTTTTTCAGATATATTGGGTGCTCAGACCCAGGCTATCCAGGGATATAGGACTTAAGGGGGTGTTTTGTGGGAAACTGTATGTTTTGGGGTGATTGTTATTATACATGTCCTGGACATGAGAGTTAGTATAATTATGTTGTGTATTTTGTCTCAGTCTTCTCTCAGGTCCAGTGGGGAATGACCCTGGAATATGTATCTGGAAACCCCTTGCATGGGGATACTCCTAAAATGCCGTGTGTGGCTCCATTAAAGTCAGTTATACCCCCAGAGCTGAGTTGCTGGGGAGGAGGTGGGAGATTCCTGGAGTATTTTCCTGTGTTTGGATGTTCCCTTGGAGTATTTTACTTGTACCTGAGTGTATGTTGGAGAAACCAGTGGAGGAGTGTCCCTGCTAGCACTATGGCTCCGCTACAAACAGCAACTTCAATGTTGACAGATTGTATTAGCTTGTAAGCTAATACAATCTGTCAACATTGAAGTTGCTGTTTAGTGGATAAGTGAGTGCGCTGGATCTTGTATATTGTATAAATTGGCCCCCAGCAGCACCCCATTTATGCATGTTCAGGTGAGTGCAGCCCCCTGGTTATTTCTCTCTCTCTGGCATGGAAACCAACCCATAATGCAGTACACACAATAAAAGGCATACCTTTCCACAGCTTGAGAAATGCACCAAAAAGTCCCAAAACAACTGCAAACAATTTCCAGAATGGCTCCAAAACTCGATGCAAAAGCCGCTCCAACACTTCCACACTCTACGCCACGTGGTACCCACAGGCTCAAGCATGCAGGGGGCGGTGCTATAAACCTCCTAGGTGCAATGCATCCTGGGGAAACTTGCTTTGTATTGCGGAAAAAAAAATGTAAACCGAGGCATTATTTTTAATGGATTTTCATTTGTAAACCGAAAATTATGTTAACCGAGTAGTGGATGCTGTGTGTGTTTGTGTAGTGTGTGTGTAGTGGATGCAGTGTGTGTGTGTAGTGTGTGTGTAGTGGATGCAGTGTGTATTAGTGTAGTGTGTATATAATGAAAGCACAGTGTTTGTGTAATGTGTATAGTGACTGCAGTGTGTGGGTAGTGTGCGTAAAGTGAATGCAGTGTGTGTTTAAAGTGAAAGCTGTATATACTAAATGCAAAGTGTGTGTATTTGTGTAGTGTGTGTATAGTGAATGCAGTGTGTGTGTTTGTGTAGTGTGCATTATATAAACACACTATACCAACACTGCATTATATACGCAGTGTTTGTGTAGTTTGTGTATATAATGGAGTGTGTGTTTGTGTATGTGTATATAATGGAGTGTGTGTGTGTTTGTGTAGTGTATGTGTAATTGAGGGGTCATTTTTGATTACATTCTTTTTTTTTTTATATATATATATTTAATTATTATTATTTTTTTTGGTCTCCCCTCCCTGCCTGTTGCCCGGCCAGGGAGGGGGGCTATAGTATTCCCTGGTGGTCCAGCGGCATGTACTGAGCAGTGGGGGGCCCGCAGCAAGCGGTTACTTACCTCCCAGCAGCTCCTCCAGCTCCCCTGTGTAAAACTCGCGGCCAGCGTTCTGCGCAGAGCGTTGCCATGGTAACCCGTGACAACGCTCTGACGGCCATGGGTCTCGCGAGATTTGACATGGGAGCTGAAGGGAGCTGCTGGAAAAGTAAGTAAACGCTTGCTGCGGGCCCCCCAGGCTTGTAATGAGCCCGGCGGCCCTGCTATGTATTATCGTTAATATCGGTATCTGAATTGGCCGATACCGATATTGACGAAAATACCGAATATCGGCTGATAATATCGGCCAGACCGAGAATCGGTCGATCCCATATATATATATATATATATATATATATATATATATATATATATATATATATATATATATATATATATATATATATATATATATATATATATTATCTAAATCTAAAATTTCATGCACATTTTAGATATTTCAGTCATAAAATATAGTGCTTTGTTTCGCAGGCTATTTTAGCTGCTGTCCGTCCTCAGAATACTCTTGCGACCCATTTCTTGCTCTCCATTAGTTTAAAGGGTAATCCAGACGTGGACCCCTTGCTCACGGTGCCTAGAGAGATATCAGCTATGCCTCACTGACGATGCCTAACAAGGCTGAAACGATTGTCTGGGGTTGCTGTATCTCTCGTGCAGAGAGAACTTGCTGGCATTTCGGATCTGGACTGCCCGTATGGGTGGGACCAGTCTGATATGCTTCAGATATGTTCTCTCTGTAATGGCACAAGTTGAGCTAAAACTAGCTTGAGTTCTGAGCGGGGACCCACCGAAGGGCAGGCTATTTTAGCTGCTGTCCGTCCTCAGAATACTCTTGCGACCCATTTCTTGCTCTCCATTTGTTTCACATTTAGTAGAAAATGTACTCTTATGTTTTAATTTTCTATTTCATTCCAGCCCTAGCTGTACAAACCCCATCATCGCTCCCTGCCGCTGCAATGGATACAGATAATGGTGAAAGTGGGCCAAGCTTTCTTGATAGCATATTTTGGATGGCAGCACCAAAAAGCAGAAGAACAATAGAGGTCAACCGGTGCCGACGAAGAAATCCCAATAAACTCATAAAAGAGAAGGTAAATACGTATGTTTTGTTCAGAGTACTAAATGATGGGCTTGTCACATTACTGTCAGCTTTATTAAAGGGGCACTCAAAGCAACATAATCACGGCAGCTTGCTGCAGTGATGGCGCCATCCCTGGTTTAATGCCAAGCCATTTAGAAAAGAGGACTCCCTCATCCAGTGCACTGATGATGTGGAATTACCATTTCTGAGTTTTCATTGTCTGTTTCACTTAATGTGGACGGAGGGTTAGCCCAGTGCTCTCTATCTATACCTTTCACAGAGCAGTTTAAAGTGGAACTGTCACCTCAGTTATATGGGCATGTCCAAGCCTTCATGAGAAGTCCAGGAGCATCTGGACACAGAAATGCAGAGATAAGTATGTTTTATGCTTTGCTGCACTACTCACCGCATTAAGTGCTTCAAGTGCATTTTTTGGGTGAGAAAAAAATACAAATTATTTCAGAGAAGAGTTTGCCACTCCAACATTAATGTTCGTTTTTGTTTCCTTTAAATAATTTGCTATCTATGCATCCTTAAACCTAATAATACATTTATTTATCCTTTAAAGGAACACTATAGGGTCAGGAACACAAACATGTATTCCTGACCCTAAAGTGTTAAAAACACCATCAAGCCCCCCTCCCCTACCCCCGTGACCCTCTATAGTATAATCTTACTTTTGATCCAGTCTGCTGTTGGCTCTGATCTGCCTGCTTGGCTGCCATCATCAGAAGTGTTGATCAAAAGCCAATAACAATGCTTTCCCATAGGACTGGCTGAGACTGTCAAGCAGAGCCAGAACAAGCCAAACAATACCCTGGCCAATCAGCATCTCCTCATAGAGATACATTGAATCATTCTATCTCTATGAGGAAAGATGAGTGTCTCCATGCATAGTGTGCAGCACTTCCACAGGAAGCACTTCTAGTAGCCATCTGTGGAGTGGCCAGTGGTGGTATCCCTATGCTGTAATGTGAACACTGCATTTGCTCTAAAAATAGTGTTTACTGCAAAATGCCTGAAGTGAATGATTCTACTCTCCAGAACAAATACAACAAGCTGTAGTTGTTCTGGTGACTATTGTGTCCCATTCAAAGACACCTAAAATACTTGGATTCCTTATTATTTTTTTTTTTTTTTAAACAGTGTGCTTGGTAGCTAAGGGGTTCAACAGACACAAAGCAACATAACCACAATATTAATGGGGCACTACAGTCACTAGAACAACTACAGTTTAATGTAGTTGTTCTGGTGTGTATAGTATGTCCCTTCAAGCATTTTAATTTAAACACTGCCTTTTCAGAGAGCAGTGTTTACATTACTACCTAGGAACACCTCTAGTGGCAGTCACTCAGACGACAATCCTGGGTCAATGCTGCACACTGTGCAGTGTCCCATCCCCATAGTTTATGTAAAATGGAGAAGTTAATGGAGAAATTAGAAGTTGTTTGGCAAAAATCGGGGCTTTTCACGGAATCCCCCACCCATGCTCCCTTTTGCAAAAATTTGGGAAGTGGTTAAACAGCCTTGGCCAGTTTGTGGTCTCTTGTGAAAAGCACTAAGACATATGCAGTATGCTGAATGTGCTTCATTTGAATTTACCTAAAGATTACACAATTATATTGGATATTCCATTCCCATGGCATTCTCTCACTTTTGTCAAAAACTCACTTTAGTCATCTTGTTGACTAAAGAGAGTATTTAACCTTATTTTTAATGATACTCATGTCATTTTCCTGTGTATTTTTTAACTTTTTATTCTTTCCATTCCTTCAGGACAATATTGACATGTGCCCAGAATGTGGGCATCTAAAACTAAAACATGTGCTGTGTGGCTTCTGCTATGCAAAAGTCAGCCATGAGACCCTTAAAATCAGAGAGGAGATCAGGGCTAAGGAAGGCGGACCATTCAACGTATCCACATTAGAAACAGTTGTGCTCTACCAAGGGGATATGCCACGTGCAGAAGATTCAGAGAAAAGGATCATTGAAAGAAATCGTAAACGGCCCTCGTGGTTTGCCTACTAATAATATCTTTGCAGCTGTAGCTATACATCCAGTGTAGCTTTGGAATAAACTTAAGAGGAACAGAATGTAGCTTTAAAGGGACTGTGGACATTTTTGAAGTTTGTTTAAAACACATATGATCCATTAAAGTTCTAATAAAAGCTTGTTCTTGTATCAGAGTTTCTGAAACCCTGTCCATGTGCTTATGTGCATTGTGTACAGATTGTGAAAGCAATAAGAATGAAGTCCAAAATTATTTAACATCAAAACATGAATAATAAAGCAAATTAATCCATTCGTATTTTGGATAAGTAAATCCTTGTACATATTTTTTTTTTTTCCTCTCTCGATTTGATGTAATATATGTATCACAAAAATCTTAGCTCAGTGAAACTAATGGAAACTCATAGTAGGAGCTTCTGGCTGCAACCAGCACTTGGTAGATCCACTGTCAAGTTGTCATACCATTTGCAAACTATAGTCCCATGGCTAAATTTCATATAGTAACTTATCCTATCAGTAAAAAGTGAACCGTGAAGGGACACTCCTGGAGTCCCAGGCTGTTTTCTCACCAATAAAATGAGGCATCTGTATTACACCTGATCTATTCTCAAAAAATACTAACAAAGATGGCTTAAAATTTTTCCAGCTGTCATGCCAAGGCATTGACTGACAAGGGAGAGCAGAAAAGACGTCCCACAAGAGGTTCCTCTGCTCTCCATCCATAGCAAACTCAGCACATGTTCTGTGGTTGCTATGGGAACTTTAGTCTGTGCTTTTATCGCTGGCTAGGGTTTATAGGACCAGAATGACATGGGTCATACACGAAGAATAACATCCATGAAGCAGCACTTGATAAGAGGAAAAGTGAGTAAAACTATATATTTTACATTGAATAAACCATGTACTTTTGTAAATGTTTCCATGACAAGTTCACTTTAGATCTGATTTGCAAAATTCAGGGCTAAATGAGCACCCTCAAAATATAGCATCATTACCGTTAAGTAATTCTGCCTAATGTCTTCAATTAATGTCAATCCACCTCATCTGTCTGTTTAATGATGCAATCCCTGTGTATCTGACAGTGTGGGTGGCATCCACTCACATGCTGCCTCTGCATTCCTTAGATGTACCGATTCAGAAGCCATGGGTTCTGTTTTATGTATTCACTTCTTTGATATTTTGAAACTTACCCTGAGGTTTCTCAATCTTTATCTCCTGAGAGATCTGAATGTTAAGATCTAAGAGAACAAGTGTTTACTGCTTCACATAGAAATGATTTTTCTTTTTCTTTTTTTCTTTTTTTTTTTTTCTTTTTTTTTTTCTTTTTTTTTATGAATACATCCCATGAGGTTCACATATTTTTGTCTTTTTACATGACACTAAGCTTGTTAGTATGAATAAGGATACAACATTTAAAGTGGAACTGTACATACCAGGAACTGACATTTCTTCGTTCCGTTATCACAGTGTAGCCAGCATTTACTAGAATCCCACACAAGAGCAGCATACTCTGTCATTTCTGTACTGGCTCATGCACCATGCATACAGCACTACAGTGGTTCAACTGCCATGCCTCCAAAAATTGGAACGTGAGATTGAAAAATAATAGCACAACCAATAGCCAACTTTTTTACAAATGTAGCATTTCTTGTTAAAGGAGAAATGTAACTGCCTTTTATCTTGCAAAGAACCCCTAGGTAATATTGGTTAGACTAGGACATTGAGATGAGGAAGGGATCAGGACATCTACTCTGCTGCTGTTCTTCCACCCTTTGAGGCGAGTAAGGTTCAGGAAAATAAAAAATATTTTCAGGTGTGTGCATTTTTATGAGCACTTCATAGGTGCTGCATTTTTACATAATTGTATCACAAATTTTTGATATCAGTTTTTTTTTTGTGTGCCTTTTATACTTGTTTTTTCCTTTAGGTTCAGGCAAATGCATATTCCTTCCCTGCTCCTCCCAAACATTACTATGAACACAGTCTTGATGCCAGTCAAAAGTGAATTTTCCACTTAAAATCCATCTGGTCTCAACACCTAGATCAGGTGCTATCACAGCTATCACATGTTCTGACCATGCAGCCATAATGTTGGACTTAAAGGACAAGTCTGATAGCCATAACAGAAGCCCATGGCGATTAAACGAAACCTTGCTACATGACTAATCATTCTCCAAACACAGAAAACTATCTAAAGCATTACTCTAGGGAAAACACCTGGCGGGGAACCTTCCCAGAAGCAATGTGGCTTGCACATAAACCCGTTATCCACAGTGAGCTGATCAGAAGGATATACTTCCTCAAACACCCAATATGTCACATGGTGTAAAAAATGATATGACCTAAACAGGCAGAACCAAATGGCACCTACATCAGAGCCACGTCAGCAGATCATAGAAACGCAGGGTAAATTACAGGCATTCGCACTACGAAAGATGGGACTAGCCATGCGGAGACTGAAGGCCCGCATTACATCCAGGGCAACAGCTCAAAGGCTCAGGGACAGGCAAGCCATGCTAAAATAGCATACCTCCAGTCGAGCACTGGAGAAAAGACCATTGCACCTAAAGCAATTAGTGACTCATTTGCGACCTACTATGAGTCACTATATAACCTGAAACACAACACCCGCAAGGTCTTATACCTCATACACAGTACAAGGTGACTGGAGGTCGAAGGCCTCTTTGTGTCCCTGGACGCTGAGAAGACCGACCGCTTAAACTGGACATTTCTGGAACGGGTGCTTCAAAAATTTAACTTCCCTGAGCAATTCACTGCTGCAGTCAGCCTTCAAAGCAGGCCCTATATGCTGGATTCTTATCTAACACTGTCAACATTACTAATGGCTCCCGCCAGAGATGCCCCCGCTGCTCTATGTGCTGGCGCTAGGGCCATTAGCAGCAAAAATTTGGGCGGACCCTAATATACATGGCATCCCCTTAGGGGACCAAGGCTATAAATTAAACATCTTCACGGATGACATATTGGTCACACTAACCCAGCCGGACATATCTCTACCCAATCTAATGAAACAAATTGACACCTTCAGACAACACTCCTATTATAAACTGAATATCACTAAAGTGCGAGCGCTAACTTTGGGGATTGGGAGTGGGGCGAGACAAAGACTGAGTGAAGCATTCCCTCTGGATTGGTGATCGCACTATCTAACATACCTAGAAATCAAAATTACAAAAAAAAAAACTCAGACTTGTTTCAAGCCAATTACACAAGATTACTTGAAGGGAAATGCGAGGGAAATTCGTCTCATGGTTAGGTCACATAACGGCTATTAAGATGTCATTACTGCCCAAGCCCCTATACCTTTTTAGGACACTGCAGATAACTATACCTACCACCTACTTGATCTCAATCACAAAAATATTTTTAAAGTTTATTTGTCAAAATGAAAAAATTAGGGTGGCCACCAAAATTCTATATAGGCGGTGGAGGGAGGATTGGGTATTCCGAATATACAAAACTACTACAAGGCAGCACTGCTGAGTATAATGCTCACCTTTCACACTGCCTTCCTGTGCCCAGAATGGTCCAGTATTGAAGTGCATTGGATGAAATCCGCACCACATTCTATATTCTGGAAAGAACAGAAACACTGGCCCAAACTGTTTGAATACTTACCAACCACTCAGTTGCTTATAACTACATGCAATGGGGTGAGTAAAGCACTGACTAGTTACCCTAAAATATCTGTGGCACCCCATTGCACGCCATCAACCTAACAATCCCTACATTAAACCAAAAACCATGGATAGAAAGAGGGATTACAAATGTCTTACACCTATACCAAGACGGGTGCCTTAAAACATTCCCAGACCTACAAGGGCAAAACAACCTACCACCCGGACTCATCTTCCCTTATCTCCAAATTAAATTTCTTCTTGCCACTAACCTGCCCACCATGCCTATGCCAACAGATAACTGCACTGTCTCAGAGTTTGAAAAAGCATGCATGACATGCAAATCCCCCGAGATTAGCATCGCTGTCTCAATGCTACTCTCTGTTACTTCACAGCCAACCACCTACACATGAGCCATAAAATTAGCATGGAGCAGAGATGTGGTGTTAGAGATTAGTGCGAAAAGGTCACTCACGATACATAAATGCTTAACTCCAAGGGAAGATTCTATACCGCTGGTACTTGGTACCAGAGAGAATACAAAAGATATGGCCAAACTCCCCCAGCATTTGCTGGTGATGTAAACAAGAAAAGGGGTCAATGTTCCACATATGGTGGACGTGTTCCCGCATTAGATCTTTCTGGGCCAAATTGGCAAAGCTCAAATCGAACATGCTGCAAGCCCCAGTTTCTTTTACACCAGAAATCTACCTGTTGTTCATTTTACCTGAGCGACTGCCCAAAACTCACCTCGCACTCATATACAATACACTTATCTCAGTGAACCTCCTCATTGCAAGACAATGGAAATCCAAGAGGCCACCAAACTTCACACACCTAAACCAAATCACACTCAATTGGCATAGGCATGCACATTCGAATCTAGGGTGCTCATGTGTGTGTTCCAGATCGCCAGGGATAGTCCTGCATTTTGTGGGAGTGTCCTGGGTTACGGTACCTTCATTCCAGGAAAATGTTATGTCCCGGAATGAGCGGGGCCCCATGTTAGTGAAGAGGGGGCCCCCTGGCTTCCCCACTATGCCTGCACCACATTTGCGGCAGCCGGAAACCCTCCTTTCCCCTTTCTCTTTACCCTCCGGAGTACCAGCGCTCTGAGGAGAAAGTGAGGTCACATGCGATGACGTCGCTTCCTCCCAGCGCTCTTTGCAGACGGCCATGCAGGAGGAAAGAGAGAGTAGCTCCCAGGACCAGATAAGTGCGATGATACTTATACAGTGCAAATCATATTGTTCAAATACTCTCCAGTTTCCGCCTCCTTTTCCTCCTACCTACACCTTCCGATGGATCATACATATAATACAGTCTTTTTGTGGTCATCAAATGCATCTTCACGAGTAGTAAGTGTTGCAGCACATTAACAGCTTCTGCTAGTTGCGTAACCTTGCACTATGTATTTCTTCAAGAAACCCCATTGAAATGTATTGTCTGGCAAGATCATAACAAATCTTCCTTCAATTTCACTGTAAACCAGTCAAACAGAAAATACAATTTCTGCCATTTAAATCTGAGCGCAAATGATTTCCTTTTAATAAGACAATACTTTGTGAATATTGTTACGATATCACAAAAACACAGTGGCGACATAACATCATATTAAAGAGTCATATATAATAGCACATTAATATGATATTGCTTACACATCCCTCACCATTTTCCATTATTGGTGCAGAGCAATTATATTGCTATAAGTTCTGTTACGTGAATGAAACAATAGCTGTGTATTCCATTTTACTTTTTTGCCTTAAATACAAAATCGCTAATACTATAGTGTAGCACAGTCACAAGTGACTTCAGTGTCCTAGACAATTACACATCCTTCCTGTAATTTCTATCATATGCTCTCCCACCACCTCCAACTTAAAAATTAAAA